CGCGCGGGTGAGTGCGTGCGTTAGCGGCCGTTACCCGGCTGGTTGCTCCCCGCGCGCCTCCCCCCGGGCCGGGCGCTGCAGCCTGCGGGTGCCGCGGGCTGTTGGGGGCGGGTCCGGCCTCGTCTCTCTGAGGGGGCAGGGAGGGAACCGACAAGGCCCGGGGGGACCCTGCTGTGCGGCTGGGGAAGTCGGAGCAGGGGCGCCGGTAACTGTGCGTCTTCCCCTGACTCATGCTCATGAAGCTTTCGCATCTTAATTGGAGCCCTCCCGAGCCTCTGTCCCCCTGTGCCCCCACCCCGAGGGAGCACAGGTCCCCGCTGCTCCCAGTGGCACTTCCCTGCCCGATGTGGGGCTCGGGATAAGCTGCCTTGGAGCCATCTTTAAAGGCAGCGGCGGAGCAAGCCAGCAAAAACAGGCTCCTGTTTGTGGTGATGCCAGAGGAGAGCCAGCTCCCCTCCCCTGCGGACCTGGTGGGGATGTTTTACCACGAAGGGAGCCAGGTGGAGGGAGGCTGCTGGCAGGGTTTGGAGTGGCTGGTTTTGGGGCCTGACTGTCTGGGGATGTGCCTGCTGCAGGTCGCCCAGGGCTGCTGTTTCCAACCAGGGAGAGGAGGGAGTCGCCAGCTAGTGACTAAGTCAGGTGCTTGTCTTAACTAGTGAGCCACTGTTCAGGTGTTACTCCCTGGGTTGTTGCACCCCATGTCGTGTGTGGGCCCTTCCAGGAGTTGTCAAAAGTACAAATTCAGATGTGGAGTAAGGAAAATGGGGTTTAAAATGGTAGCCTTATAATTATGTTTCCTAGTAAGTGGAGGCCTGTAATCTTAAACTCTCCAGCTGTATCTGCACTATTGGACTGAAGTTGCATGTTTCAGCAACTTCAGCTTTTTTCTGACTTGATGCTGTCTCTCTTTGAAGGTACCAGCACAATATCTTCAACTTCAGCTGTTCAACAGGAGTGCATCTTTATAATTGCAGAACAGTCTTCTGAATTTCTGTGTTGCTGTCTGCAGTGGGCTTTCTGGCATATTGGACTCTACTTTGACTGACAGACCTGACGGGGGAAGGGCTGGATCCAAAGGTGCCTCTACAAGATGAGCTGCTCAGATCTTGTGATTAGAAAGGTTGAAGTTTAAAGCCACTGCCATATCAAGCCCTGTCTGTGACTGTACCTAAATTGTAAAGCCTTCCACAGTGGCTTAAGCTCTCATTTGCTATAAGTAGTCTCTAAACCTGTTCTTAAACCAGTTGAGCAGTACTGACATGCTTGTAGTTTGAGGGTACACTCCCAAGTGATCCGAGTAGTCTTTAGGTATGTGCATGCTGTAGGCTGCATAGGATTGCACAGATTCATATTCATTGATGTTGTGTTGGGCAATAACAGTACCAGGTAATTGAATAGCTTCTCTTACATTCTGTGTTGCTTGTTATGTTGGAGCACTTCTGTTGGTAAGTGATTATTGCAAGTCCAGACTTAGGATTCCTTGGTCTTAACAAGTGGGATGTTCAGGTTTGGTTTTGTTTGTTTGTTTGTTTGTTTGTTTGTTTTTAAATAAAAAGTTCAAACAGTGGTTGATGGAAGGACACAGCTGAATGCTTAGTTACTGTCTATAATGTTGCCCAGACAGACCCTTGAGCAAATGGTATGAGCCATATTTGACATCTGCAGTGAATAAATTTAAATCTAAACTTGTAGGTTTGCTTTGCAACTATAACTTTACAAACATGAGGTTGTAACTAGGTCATTGATTTCACAGAAGCAAAAGGGTGCTAGCTCTTGCCTCAAAGACAAATAAAACGTTAATCTAGGGGAGAAGGGGAGCACACTAAACCTAATAATTCAAAGGGGAAAGAATGGGGGGAAGCTTTTTTTTGTAATTTAGTTCTGCTTAAATTCCTTATGCTCAGATTCTGAAGTGTAACTTATCAATTTGCTATGTGGGGGTGGGGAAGGAGGGAGTATGAGTTCCTTATTGGTGGTGATTTTGGGGGTGGGGAAGGGGGTAATATGCACGGATCCTTCTGCAAGTAACATTTACCACTGCAGACTTCATGTGACTTGTTAGGATTTGTAAATGTGTTTAAATTATGTGCATTGTTAATAGTAACCAAAAAGAAACCTACAGATTGGTCTTGGATAGTCTTGAAAGATGAATTGCACTGAATGAAGACAATAGAATTGGGGTAAAATGCACGTCAGAACTTAAGAGTAGGGTTTAAGAAATCCATTAAGTACATTTAACTGAAGCAGGTAGCTAATAGTCTCTCAAACCCTGATTCTTCCTGTGACTTGCAAGCAAGTGTTTTGCTGCACATCAGCTCTGTTGGCTTTTGGTGGCCTGAGAATGGTTTGGTTGCATATTCTGGCTTCAGGCTATATTAACTTTATCTAAAATACTTAATACATTGCATATAACTGGTGAGTATAACTACTCCAAAAGTGCCCTTGCAAATGGGAGAAGTGGGTTGGCCAATTGTAAGTGGAAGGTGGTGCATGAGACAGAATGTAGAAAACCTTAACCTTGTTGCCTGAGTGGAGGGGTTTGCAGGTTGACCTCTGAAACTAGGATGGCTAACAGTGCTGGAGGCTATGTCCTTATTTTCTGCAATGCACAATGCATGTGTTTTGTCTTTAACTTGAACATATCTTGTTATTTGAAGTGCTTTTTGGGTAAAAGACTGATGGAAGTTAAGCTGTCATAAACTACCAAGACTGATAGCTCACTTTAACTGCTGTTTTGATAAATATTTTTAACCCTGAGGCACTTTTTTTTTTTGCTTACTGACCAGCAAAAACAATATTCTCCTTGGAGCCAAGACTCTTCTCAGTGGCTGACTTGCCCAGGAGGATGACCATTTCTGCTAAGGCCCTGTCTTGTAAAATGATTCTGTTTTTTCTTGTGGAGAAGAAAGGGTGGGCAGAAGAGCTGTCCAGTGCTCAGGATGAGCAGTAGTCCTAAAATCCAGAAACTATAAGTTTCTTAGCCTGCCAATAACTCGTGTATGTACCTCTTTAAAGGGGAGGCCTCTTTGTGCTCCCCTCCATGGCATAGACTTGTTCTAGCTAACTAAAATTAAATACTCACTGCAGCATAGTTTTTGGGAGGAAGTAAAACATTGCATATCAGCATTGGGACAAAGGAATGCTGGGTTTCTACTATATAGGAAAGAAGCTGGCCAGCCTGCTTCTTGTCTCTCAATACTAGAATTACTAGACTTGTGGCACCACTCTGAAAATGCTTGGCTTTTTTCTTCTTCAGAAGACTGAAAATAGAGCGGTTATGCAAAAACATCAGAACCACCACAGCAGGACAGAATTTTTTTAATATTATTCATTGTGTGTGGGTGTTTACACAGCACTTAAGGGTCTTGCAGCACCATGATTAAGAATCACTGATGTTAGGCTTATGGATAGAGGTCAGACCACTTGATGGTAAGGAAGAGTGGTCCCATAATGCTTGACTTCTTTCTAGAGACTGCAGTGTAAACGTGAAAACAAGGCATCTTGTTATAATTTAACTTTGACTTGACTGAATCAGTTTACTCTTGCATTAGACTGGAGGTGATAAGTTGTGCAAGAATGTGCTGCTCGTGAACAGTCTCAAATGATCAGTTGGGCAGTATTGTTGTTTGATGCACTTTTTCCTGAAGCTACTGAAATTGGTAAAATACCACAGTCTAACTAGACTACTGGTGTGTGCCACCAAGCAAGCCCTGCTGTGTAGGACTACGTTGTGCATCTGCTTTTAGTTGAATGGGAAAAGGTTTAGCTACAGGATCTGAGAATAAACTTAGAAATCAGCACCTCCAATTGGAATAATAGATTCTGACACCAAAAGGGCTGTTCATAAGTTGTTTCCTATTAATCATTGTCCTGGTGGGACTGTTCAGTGGCTTGGCATAATCGAAAGTATGTCAGGATGAGACATACTTCTGAACAAAAACAAATTGGTGATTTATAGTAAGAAGCATTTAAGTGACCTTTATTTTTAGTGTGGTGCTTGCTGTCGGTTCCATCCCGCAGCTTAACATGCACAAAAGGCTCTCGGGCATAATTGACACGGGTCACTCTTCTAGAACTTGAGTGACCTTTTCATAATATTTATGGGCATTATGTTGATGTTAAATATAAAGGTGCCATCCTGTAACTTCAGGAGAAGCTGCCTTGAAATACATAGCTATAAAAGTGGAAGGAGATCCAAGGACTTTGCTGTTTTGTTAGATGTAATGCTGAGGAAAGTCTAACTGTTCGTGAGTTGTCATGTCATGATCAACTTAACTTTCTCAGATTGACATTTGCTCTGTTACAAGTATGAGCAAATTCTACATTAAATTGAAAAAGCCATATGAGATCAATGGACCTGATGCCTGAGCAGAGTAGAGCAGCCCTGTGCTGCAGTACTGTGAAGCCTATGTCCACATAGCACATGAACACTTTGTGCTGTGTTGGCTTCTAGGCTACCTGCCTTCCTTACTACTGGTTTAGCAGGTGGCTTTGTTCCTTTTTCCTTTAGCTCAGGGCTGTTCAACTTCTGAGTGACTGTAGGCTGCACTGGGCCAGTGCCTTGCATGCCATGCCACCTGGATGTTCTCCCACCCCATGCCCATACTATGCCTCTGCCATGCCCTGTGGGGTCCCCATGTCTCTTCTCTCTTCCCTTCGCCCCTCCCCCAAGCTGCTTAACTGGGGGAGGGGGAGCCCAGAGAGTCCAACAGCACCAGGAGAGTAGTGGGGGAGCAACGCTTGGACCTGGGGGTGCTTCAGGCTAACCCCTTGGGCTGTATATGACCATGGGCTGCCAGATGAACAGCTCTGCTCTAGCTGTTTTGGGACTCTTAAGGCCCTTGCTTGTCACTGCACTTGACTAGTCTTTCACAACCCTGTGGAGTAGGAGAAGGAATTTTGAGGGGATATGGGTGTGGGGGGAGAAACGCTTTCATAAGTGATTGGTTAATTGTAGATGCTAGATTATTTTAGATTTTAAACACTACCTGGGGGTGTCTGTAGCACCCTCTCTCATGTTCTGCTCTTCCATTAGGCTTCAGCATAATTCTGCACTTGCAATATCTATCACCAGCCTGAGGCAGAATGAGAATGAGAGCCTTTGTCCCAGGGCAAGCTGTGTGTTTTTTGTCCTGGAACAGAAGAGTTCCAAAATGCGTGTACGTGCATCACCCTTCCAATCGGGGTTTAGTGAGTCGCTGAATGCACCATCACTTTTCTGCCGTTGATCCAATGGTGCAATCCCAGGATATCAGTTCAGACACTTTGCAGTGTTTTGGGACTAACTGTTAGCACTTCTTGTCTTATGAACCTTATTAGGTTTTGTCTTGGCACAATGGAATTGGATGTCTGAACAATTGCATTTTATCCTGCGGTAAAATGGTTTATTCCAGGATAAATGCAGTATTTTTGTAGCCTGCGACCTTGAGCAATCAAGAGATGTCTTGGGAATTGTGTAGTGCAAATTGCAGCAGTTCAAGTAAAGAAACTGGAAAGGTGAATTGTTGAGATCTTGGAGTGTAACTGGTGAAATGGCACATCCACTTTGGCCTAAACATAGGCCAATACCCTTAAAATGATTTTGGCCACCCCCTGTAGTACAGAAGGTAGGAAACTTTAACTTTGTAAATCCCACTCAATCTCTTGGAAGCAGTTTGGGGGGAGGCCACTAATGGAAGTAGAGCAATGCAGCTAATTCCAGCCCCACCCTTACTATTTTAACCCATGAAGCATCTTTCGATATGATCAACCTCTGTGCTTAGTGCCTTGCTCATCTAAATACAGAGAGGAAGAGAAGTAATTGGTTCTTTTCTTTGTTGCAAGAAGAAAAAAAGCTGACTGCTGCTCTCCTGTTTTCTTTCATTACACTCGAATTATGTCTTGTTATTCATAGACAATAGGAGAGCTTGCAGCCCTTTGTAAATAGACCATTGTACTACTGTGAGTAGGAGGAGCAAAGAATGAAAGCATCTTGCCAACTTGGATTGCTGCTTCAAGACACAGGCTGTACTGTAGTCTTGGATGCTGCAGTATTTTCTTCTGCGTGTCTGAAGGGAGCTTTCTTTATCTGCCTAGTT